ATTTGAATTCCCCATCAGTTAGGTCTAGTGCCTTTTCTTCTACTGGAAGGTCATCTGATGTTTTATTTTGGACGCCTACTGGAACCATCCTGTCCTGTTTTTGTAAATGTTTTGATATTGTCTGCTGTCTTTGGGGCATTCAGTGGTTATTTTCCTCATTTATTGATTGTAGATTTGTTTGTTTTGTCCTGCTTTTTTGTTTTATTTGATTATGTCTGAGCAGGTGGGCTGTGTGTTCTTTGTTGTTTGCTTGTCTGTGGGCATGATACGTTTCACCTCCTTCTCCAGTGGGCAGGGTCTTTGCATGTATCTCTCCTCGCTGTCTGTTCTCTGTCAGTTCCTTATTCCATTTGGTGCTTGGCTGAGTTCTTTTTCTCTTCATTTGATGCTTAGGGTTTCAGGATTGACGTGTGCCTCTGTTTGACTTAGTTTTTCTGATATTTGCTGTGGAGGGACGGCGTGGTACTTCTGACTATAGAACCACGTTGCCCAGAAGTTCAGGATTTCTTATTGTATAAAGTTACCATATCCATTTAACTGATTCCCTATTGCACGGCACTTAGACCATTTATAGTTTTTGCCTGTTACGGCCAAAACTACTATTACTATCCTTACAGTTAAATCTCTGTGAGCTTCCTTTATTTACTTATTTTATTTAACCTTATTTTTAATTGATATAAATGGCACTTCTGTTTCAAAAGATATGCACATTTTAAAGATTGTTAGTACGTGTTGTCAAATTGCCTTCTAGAGTGGTTGTAATGTTTACTGTCAGCAGCAGTAAATAAGATTGTCCTTTTCTTTACACATTTTTATCTTTTTAATCTTTGTCAACATGATGGGTAAAAATTGTTTGATTTTCAAAAAATTACTAGTAAAGTTGGATATCTTTTCATATGTTTAATGTTCATATCTAGTGTTGTTGTGTATGTATGTGTGTGAATCACCTATTAATTAAAAAGTTTTGGAACTATGTTTCACACTAAACATTGTAATGTGAATATCTTTCCATATTACAAAATAATCTACTAAAATATCATCTTAATAGATATTATCTCCTTACTGAATCTTGAAAAGAATGCACTCACAAATATTTTTGGTTTCTCAAGTTTCTTGGGAGGCTGTTTGTCCCACTAAAAGTATATTCTGCCCTTCAGTGGGGGCTTGTGTAATGGTGAAAAATGGAAGAAATGTTCTTTGGCAAAAATTCACTAAGGTAGAAGGCTTAGGTATGAGGCAGTGCATCCAGGAAGTGTGATTGGGTCAAATTTTTGGCTTTTGTACAGCTAGATAATCCTTGTAAACATATTTATACCTTCTGTACGATAGGGAGCCCTGGTGGGTTTGGTTTTCTTTTTGTGTGCGTGTGTGTCACATTTGAAAAACCAGAGGTGCCCAATGTAACAAAATGGAAGGTGCCATGCTCCAAAGATCCATGGGGCAGACGGAGCCCACTAAGCATGGTGCCAGACTACCACCAATGTTTTGTGGAAAAATGTATGCCCACATGATATTTCTCAAAATGCATATTACCAACCAAAAGTTTAACTACAGCCCATTAATTTACATGTATTCCACTACTGAAGACACATGCCATCAACAAAAAATTCATAACACAAAAAAATTAAGTCTTGAAAGGGTTATTACATCATGTGATGGTTCAACAATTTATGAACCTGTCCTCTACCGTCAGGCATCAGAGTGTTTGGGATTTTTTGCTACCATAATAAATTATTTTGTATGAATTTCTGATTATCTTTTTGGAGATAAACTCTAGGAGCTTCTTATTATTCATAGGTGAATGTATATGCAATTTTGTAAGACTTTGATACAAAGTCTCAAATTATACTCCAAAAAATTAGTACCAGTAAATGGGAACAATTTTTACTGGACTACAGATGTGTACAGCTGCTGCTTTCCATGAATTTCTTCATATTACTTTTTAAAATTTCTATGGAAATCTTTGTCAATCTGGTAAGTGAAAAACAGAATACTTTTCTTACTTTTTCTCTAAAACAAGCAATACTCTAGCAGAGTGCCTAGCAATAGTAGGAACTCAGTATGTATTTGTTGAACGAATGAATTAACTCCTAATGAAATAAAGTAAATATAGATAGTCAAGAGAAGAAAATAAAAGTCACTTATCCTATCAGAGTTAATTACCGTTACTATTTTAAACATATTTATCTGGAATTATATGTATCATTTTGTAAATATATATTTGCCACTTGTCATACTGTATGCTTTTTGCTTGCATATACTATTTGGCAACTTACTTTTTTTCTAAATATATTTTAAACATCTTTCCATTATCATTTAATACTGTCATTATCTTCCAAATTTGATAGGCAAATAAATAGTATCTCAATATGACTTTAATTTGCTCTTTTTTGATTCTCCATGAGGTTGAATTTTGTTTTCCATGTATGTATGGCCTTTTGCATTTCTGGATCCTTGCCTTTTCATCGTGCAGCCCTTGGTATTACCTGCTGTTCATTCTCTGCTCCTGAGAGTTGGTGGCTCCCTCTGTTGGCCAATGTTGGACATTGGTACATCTTTTGGGGGATGGGGAAATTGGTTCCTCTCTTGAGCTGCCATCAGGGGACACAGAGGGTCTGCCTCAAGCCATCTCTTCCTGAACACCAGTGGTCTTCTGTACTATCCCATTATTCCTTCCCATCAGTGGACTTCACTTAACCCTAAGGGAGGTAGCATGCAGGGCCCCTTCTCAAAAATTAACACTTGTCACACTCTATTGCTCACCTTGATGACCCCAATCTCCCAGCCCAAAGAGTTTCAATGTAGTCTAGAGTGGGAAAAGTTGGGTCATCTAGACTTCCAAAGCTTTTAGTATTAAACCTGGACCTTGGTTTTGATATTCAAAAGCTAATAAGTTGACATCTTTGTCTCTCGTTTTGCAGTGACAACTCTTCTCACAACTAATGATGTTTTACACCTAACTGCCTGGGTAGGTATGGGAGGGTCACAGGACAAAAGAAGGTGAAAGAGAAAAAAAGCGTGGGTTATTAGTTCACGCTGTTACCCTACCATTGAATATTGAATCATCCCTAGGGTAAACCTTTTCTGGATATCTTTGACTTACTGGGCAGAGCTTCTGCTTCAGGACTGTTGATACCTTACCTAGCATAATGGGAACTCCTTGACTAGACAGAGTGAGGTTGAGGCAGTTATTTTAGAATCTTAAACATGTATATTTCAGGGTGAAGCCAGCTAGACTCATCCTGTAGGATGTAATTAAGGAGGACAGAATCACTGGCGACCACCATTGAAAACCCTGTGGAATACAGTTCTACTCTGACACTCACGGATTGTCGTGAGTCAGAATCGACTCGTGACAACTGATTTGGGCTTTTTGTTGTTGTTGTTTTTTGTTTTGTTTTTGGTTTATTGTTGCCTTAACTAAATCGCTTATCAAGTAAGTGGCAAGACCAGCATGTGAACCCAGTTCTTTGTGACTCCTTAAGCCCGTGCTTTTTCCATGGTACCATTCTGCCCCTCCCTGTTATGAACTAAATTATAGAAATTGCATCCTTCCACACAGCTTTACTTTAAAAAAAGAAAAAATCAAGCTTACCTAAGGAAGCTCCAATTTAGAAAGCATTCTTTCTGCTAGTCTCTACTCCACAAAAAAAAAAGCCAGTTACCTCTGTTTGTGAACACTAACCTTGCCCAGCTCCTAGACTGAAGTTCAAGTCTTTACACTGTCTGCAGCTCAAATGGCATTTAAAGCCCTTCCTCATGTCCCTCAGGCCATTCTTCATATGTCACCTTCTCAGTGAGCCCTTCTCCAATCACGTCATTTAAATTGGCAACAACTGCTACACACACAGACTCACTCTTACACAGACATACACACGCTCCCACTATACACCCTCCCTATCATACTCATTTCCTGCTATGTTTTTCTCCATAGCACTTATTACCCTCTGACACACTGCATGTTTACTTGGTTACGGTCTGTCTCCCTTCCACCATCATAATGTAAGATTCCTGAGGGCAGAGATTCTTATCTGTTTTACTCATTCTATCCTGAGCTTTGAACAGTATCTGGCACGTAGTAGGCTGGTTGTTGGCAAATAGTAGCAGGTAAGGTTGCTTAGGTAGGTGAAGACAGACAAAGAAGGGCTAACTCCTAGAGCTGTTGAGAAGACCAAATGAGGCGATACAAGCAAAACTCTACAACTGGACCAGCCAACCAATAAGGGCTTGATCAGCACTGACTGTTATTCATCACTGAAGGCTGCGGGGAGGTGCATTCAGAAAAGGGGAGGCTCATGCAGAGATTAAATTAGAACATTTTGAGAAAAATGGAAGGATTAAAAATAAGAAGGGTGAGGACTAGATGTATGTGTTTATCACATTGGAGATATCTAATATCTGTGTGTGTTTATTTGACTTGACCTTCTGTTAATTTGAGCCTTTTAAAAAATCGTTAATCTGTACTTACACAGAACTTCATCTGGCAGGTAGAGCCAAAGGTATTGACTATTCAGGCCAAGGTGCAAGGGTCTTCTGTGCACTCAAAGTTTTGAGCAGAAGGCTGCTTCAGATGTTCTTTTAGATTATCTGCCTCCACAAAATTCTGGGCTGGGCCAGGAACACCAGGGACCTGCAACCCAAAGACTTTTTGAAGGTAATCTTTTAAATCATGGGGAAAACTTAAGGCATTTTCTTGTTCTGTTATGTTTTAAGTAACTTCTCAAAAGAGGGTCTTGTAGAAAGCAGATCTGGGCATAGCTACAATGATAGTGCTCTTGCTGGGCCTTCTCTGCTTTAGTCTTCCCTGGTCCTTCCAAGGCAAATCAGCACTTTCCAAACTCTGTTGACCCCTCAGAGGGTTTCCTAAGTATTCTGTGTTTGGGGTGATTGCTTTGGGCATGTTCGACCTTTCCTCAGATGTCACTGAACTGTGCTTGTGTTGGCCTTCCGGGCACTGACCCTTAAGCAAATAGATAACGTTCTTGAAAAAGCTTGAATTCTGTTCAAAGTTTTATAATGATGAAAACTGAAGTTGGAAAAGGTTGTAAAACCCTCTGACTCTCCACAGTAGTATCCACTGTTTTCTTCTGTCTTGCTCAAGTTTATGTTCACGGGTAAGTGGCTTATGCTCGTCTACAGCATTTGAGGGCTATGTTCTTCAAGGCCATTCCCTTTAAGTTTCACGTTGTGGGGTGTTGTGTTTCTGATTTATTAAAGGCTGCCCACTTTTCATGTGATAAACAATACTACAATGTTTGTATATAGACTTGCAGAATGAATTAATAATTTCATAATATTATATACAATATGGATGATTTTTGGCTACTGTCTCATTTATGGTCATGCTGTTTCATTCATTAATTCTCTTGAGAATACGTGTATGTGTATGTTGTATATAGGTTTGTGGCGCAAATTGGTGAATGGATTGAAAAATCTACTCAAAATAAAAATGTGAGTTAACTTCTTTTTTACTGATTTTATGAAAGCACAATTCTGTTTGTGCTGTTAATCACAAATCTTACCCAAGAAGGCTGGTATAGGTTTAGTACAGAACTATGCTGACTATCTTTTCTTCAACACCATACTCATTTCCTCATTCTCTCGGTTTTCAAAATAGATTCTAAAAGATATGAGCTCAGGATGCGTGGTTAGGGGGAACAAGTTGGCTTCCAGAATCTAATTTCAGTTTTTAGGCTTTCCTAGCCAGTAGAAATCACATTACTGAAGATTTAAGCACATAGATCCAATATTACTCATATTTAAGACTGGGAATAAATTTTGGTATTTCTAAATATTTTGAGGGAGGAAAAGAGCTTTCTGAACATGTTAGAGACAAATTAGAATGGTTGCACCTAAAACTCTTTAATATTAGGATCTAACAGAAGTTATTACTAAACTTTTAAGGGATTAATTTATTTCTTCTTGTTGTTGTTAGCTGCCGTTGAGTCATCTCCGACTCATGGCGACCTTATGTGTAACAGAATGAAATGTCGTCTGGTCATGACTGTTGGTATGTTTGATACCATTGTTGAGGCTATTGTGTCAATCCATCTCACTGAGAGTTTCCCTCATTTTTGCTGACCCTATTTACAGGCTATTAAATAGAGGTTATTTTCTGCGTACACGTGGTTGGAGTACACAATTACAATAAGAAATGCACACCCCTCCCCACCCTACAAACACAGCCCATGACCACCCTAGTTGCCCCTTCTATTGTGCTCTCTAAAACTCTGTAATTTTCTCTGTTTGAAGCATCCATTTCACTACCGAGGAATTATTGTTGCATGCCCCTTCCCTATTAGATTGTAAGCCCCTTGAATAGTTCATGTTTCTCCAGTACCAAAAGTAATGGCAACAAATATTTGCTAATGAATGTTAGAAGTGAATTAGGAAATCATTTAGGAAAACAATTCCCCACTTTTTTAAAAACAACATTGTTAAGATAATATAGTAATTCACATGATGTCTAAGTTTCCTAGGACTACCATACAAAATACCATAAAGTGGGTGGCTTTAAAGAACAGAAATTTATTGTCCCATAGTTGTGGAGGTTAGGAGTCCAAATTCAGGGCATCTGTAGAGCCCTGCTGTCTCTCTGAAGGCTCTAGGGGAAGATCCTTCCTTGTCTTTTTCAGCTTCTGATAGCCTCAGGCGTTTCTTGGCATTCTTTGACTTGTAGACAGATCTTCACGTGGTGTCTTCCCCTGTTTGTCTCCCCTTGTCGCTCTGTCTGCTCCTTCTTTATGAAACACCATTCAAAAGGGATTAGAATTAGGACCCACTCTACTCTGATAGGACTTCACTGATAATATCTTCAAAGAAAGATCCTATTTCCCCAAACAAGATCACATTCACAGGTATGGGATTAGGACTTCAACGTATCTATTTGTGGGCACAATTCAATCCATAACACATACCGTACAATTCACTCCCACGTTGTGGTTTTAAAAGACACTGTATTTGCTAGAAAGAAGCCCCAGTGGTACAGTAGTTAAGCACTTGGCTGCTAACCAAAAGGTTGGCAGTTGAAATCTACCAGCTGCTCTGTGGGAGAAAGATGTGGCAGTCTGCTTCCGTAAAGATTACAGGCTTGGAAACCCTATGGGGGAGGTCTACTCTGTCCAATAGAGTTGCTATGAGTCAAAATCGACTCAACAGCAATGGGTTTTTCAATGAGGCACTTGCTAGAAAGTGCTCCGGTTTCATTGTGGGAATCAAGTATTGGAGTTACGTTTTGCTTTGTGAAGATGAAAGAAGTATACGTTTAGAGACAAAGAATAGCTCTGAATAATTTTGTCATTAAATTCTATTCTCTTCAGGAAGGGCAGCACACACTACAGGGGAAGTCAGCACAACTGGACTAAACCAAAGCTAAGAAGTTTCCTGAATACAATTGAACACTTTGAGGGACAGAGTAGCAGGGGTAGGGGTCTGGGGACCATGCTTTCAGGGGACATCTAAGTCAATCGGCATAACAAAGCTTATTAAGAAAATGTTCTGCATCCTATCTTGGTGAGTGGTATCTGGGGTCTTAAAGCTTGCAAGTGGCCATCAAAGATGCATCAATTCATCCCAACCACCCGGAGTAAAGGAGAATGAAGAACACCAAAGACACAAGGAAAGTAGTAGCCCAAGAGACAGAAAGGGCCACATAAACCAGAGACTTCATCAGCCTGAGACCAGAAGAACTAGATGCTGCCTGGCTACCACCAGTGACCGCCCT